ACAATGTCCGATGCTGCGACCATACGGAAGACCTTCTGTGGTTTTCGATTGACCATCGGTGCCATTAGTATAGACACAAATGTCGTAGCAGTTGCGACGGTAGAACACACTTGGGCTGCAGCGGTCTTCGTCAGGTTTTTCAAGCTGGACACCGCTAGGATAAATCCATCGAATAAGCTCTCAAAATTCCAGAAAATTGCTTCTTTGCTTCCCCCGCTATCTCCTTGAAGCAACTCTGCCGCAGAACAACTGGACTGATCGCCAGTGCTGAAAGTTGGTACGGCTGACAAACAATGCTCATCTCCTCGAAACGATAGGGAGAGTTGGACGTTTGAACACCAGTCACGGCCGAGTATCATTGACCATTGTAACTTGCGCACAATTACAAAGGGGAGGTTGACTGTTGTTCCTAAAGTTTCTACAGTCAACGAGATCTGTCCTTCTTGTTCGATTGTAGAACCGTCGGCTGATATAAGACAGACGGTACCAGGAAGTGTTTTGGGCGTGGTACACTTTGCTGATTGCAGTAATGCATAATCGATTAGACTTACTGCAGCTCCGGTGTCCACGATAGCATTCACATGTTGTCCCAACTCATGAATATGAACTGAAAGACATGGCGTTGGCGAGGTGCGCAGTGGCGTTGTCACCAGAGGAACATGATGCACTACATGAGACTCAACCTTGCCAGTCTCACTGTCACTTGAAACGTTTGGCGTTGGTATAGGTTGCATTTTGCACGGGGCCAAGTGATTTGGGCAGGATCGAGCTAAGTGCCCAATGTCACCACACGTGAAGCAACGACGTTTACTTGAACGTACCGGAGAAGATCGGTGAGCCACCCGCGAAAGCTTGATTCCAGATGTCGACACCATGTCCATTGCTTTGTTGGCTGCTTGAACTTCGAGTGCGCGGGCCAGTGCTGCACGAGTCGTGGTTGGGTGGGCGAGTCGTACAAGAAGCTGGATGTCGGTGTCTTCGATTGCGTCGATGAAAGCAGTGGTTACTATCTGCTCCAAGTCGACTTCCGTACATCCGACGAGCGCTCTTCTCGCCATCCCCTGGATTACGTCAGCTAGCTCCTGGAGTGTGTCCGTGCCTTGGCGGTGGTGCTTTAAAGCAGTCAGGTGAAATTGCTGGAGATGTTCATCACCAAAGCGGGACTTTAGAGCTTCTATGAGTAGTTGATATGAGGAACGACTTGTGGCTGACATGCTCTCCAAACATTCAGCAGCGTTCCCCCTTAACTGGGCCACCATTGCACGAGCTCTGGACGTTGAGTCGAACCCGTAAAAGTCCGCAACCGTTTCGAATTGGATGATGAAGGCTTGCCATGACGACTGCCCATCGAATGTCGGCAGCTTGAGTGGCGGTCCGTGGTGCACAGGCAGTCGAATTCGAGATTCTACGGACGAAAGGCCGTCATTTAGGCGTTGCCCTACATCGGCAACCTGACGTTCGACTGCAGATTCCAGCAGAGACAGACGGGTGGCGAGGCAATCGTCGAGGGTTCCAAGCGGGTTCAGAATGTCCGTAGCACTCCTTTCGGCGAGCAGATTAGCTAACCGCTCCGTGATTTGCATCGCCGCGGAAGTTGAGATGACGCCACTTGCCTCCGATCGGGTTGCCATTTCGTAATCCCACCGCTGCCACCAAATGTTGCGGGCGTTTCAGTTCATGGGCTAAACGGGCAACCCAGAATTCAGTCCCCCGTTCTCCACCCGACCTCGTCTTCTTCTCCTTTTCTTCCTTTTCCTTGTCCGTTACAATATATATATGTGTGTGTGTGTGTAAACAATCCGTGTGTACAAATTCATAGCGTATAAATGTACTTTTGTAAACCAGCAACACTGTCCATTCGTTTATTTTTCAGTTACTACAAGACGTTAAACTGCCGTTCGGCAAAGACATCCGGAGGACATGGGAGCCAAGATTGAGGCATTTACAGCTTCTACACAGGTGTTCCTCAAAGGAAAAGAACGTCACTCTGAACCTCGAAGAGCTGCTTGAAGGTATACTTTAGTTGGTGTTTTTGTAATCTATCACAAGTTTCAGACTGCGACGACGCAGAGGTTTACCTTCGTCCACCATAAATATGCTGGGTTAACTTACTACCTCATTACGAACTGATGACCGCTTATCGGGGCCATTCGTTTAAGACAGGGTTAACTTATACTCAGAAACAACTTTCTGTGGCGTTTCTGAAGTGAAGAGTGCGTGTGCCTAGCCTTGATTGGCGCTTAAGATGCGCGGGCGTTTTTAACTTCGACTACATAGCCAAAAAAGTTGCCCAAGTCACCCCCGAGTATAGTGCATTGTCACAGATGGTAATGCAAACTTGTCAGGGTTATATCTTCAATATACGAGCTAGTAATATAAAACATATCCTTGCTTTATTTTCTAAAAATAATATAGAGGAAATATAAGCGACTAAAGTCAATGACAGGTTAAGAAAAATCTAAAAGAAGAAAGCCGATGGACGCTTATAATGGAGAGAAGGTTTCTCCTCTCCGCTACAAGCTTCTGTCCGCTTCCTCCTCTCCAGCTCGTAGATTTTTTCTTAACCTGTTACTGACTGTAGGGCAAGAAGGATTAAATATGGGTAGAACCAACGTTTCTTGAAACATGCTTAAAATTCCTGTGCATCTACTTCCCGCAGAACACTCAAGAAGCCAATCACACCAATCCACGAAGAGAGCTCGGCGAATAAAAAGGCCAAAGCATGTTTAGACATATGAATGAAGCGAGAGATGTCACTGAGCATGACGGTTCACGTACTGACTTCACGCTCAGTGTCACGTTACAGACTTCATTTTTAAGTCAAACATATTTTCAGCTTCTCCATTGGCCGAGTTTTCTTCGTAGATTGCATTGATCGGCCCCTCGAGTATTCTCAAGGGAAGTGGACGCACGGGCATTTTTAAAAGCAGAGAAAATGCGGTGGCACGTTGGGCATTGTTTTACGTGTGTACCGCACATATATTGTAATTCATTGACTTCCGATTTTCTTCCTTTACTACTTCTTGGATGGAAAGGGAACGCTTGATGCTGCGTACCATTTTTCGCTTTTACACATTGTTGTAGCGAAGGGGGCTTCGAAGGGGACGCTTCGTCTTCCGCTGGTCGCGCTCTCTAGATGGCACTGATTGACACACTAAATGTTTTGAAGGAAATCATATCTGCGGGTATGTTTTAGAGCGTAAGGCTAAACGAGAAATAAAATGCTTAGTGAAACCTATACAATTATAATTGATCTGAAAGCGCGGCGAATGAGCAACTCGCAGCATAATAATACAGAGGAAAACACATGTGTTCATATATCTTGTTTTCTTGTTGTAGGAAGTCCGGACACTGATGCCACTCATCCATCTCCAGGAAAATGAATTTGACATCTTTTTGGACGGTGTCCTGACAGTGAGCGACATCAGAACGACAGTAGAAGCTGTGTGCACATTGCTGGCAGTGATACCCGTCTCGTCTTGAAACTGTTTCGAATTTTGTTAGCTTTTTTACTGCGAACAGAAGAATTAATTTTTGCTACTCCAATAAAGTATATGATTGGACATGATGTTTACTGTTCTGCCTGTCACCTAGTTAATTACGTACAGGAATGAAGTGTGTTGACTCTGGCCAGACTGATGTTTGTCAACCTGTCGAAAAGGCCAAATGCTAGCGATTAATGAACAATCTAAAGACACTTTGGTTGGTAGAAAAAAATGCACCTTGTGGAGCAAGAAATACAAAATACGATTTACTAAAAACTAACAAGGAATGTAAAAAAAACTCATTTGTCATAAGAGAGGGTTAGAAGTACAAAATATGGTTTACTAAAATAACGCCAACATAATCTAAAGAACTCGGGATTTATTGAAAGAACCAAGGAGGGTTCCGAATAAAACATGAAATAGGGTTCATAAAGAAAAACCAAAGAAGGATCCGTAAAGAACCTCGAAATAAGGTTCATTAAGAGCATGAAGAAGGGTTCTGGAAAGAACCCAAATGGGGTTCATTAAGAACCAATAAAGGATACGAAAAGAACCCTGAAATAGGGTATATTAAGAGCACCAAAAAGGGTTCTGGAACGAACCTGAAATAGGGTTCATTGAGAGCACCAGAAAGGGTTCTGGAAAGAACCCGAAATGGGGTTCATCAAGAGCACCAAAAAGGGTTCGGGAAAGAACCGAAATAGGGTTGATTAGGAAGAACCAAAAAAGGATCCTAGAAGAACCCCTAAATAGGGTTCGTTAAATAGAACCCAGAAGCGTTCTGAAAAGAACCAAAATAGGGTTCATTAAGAAGAACCAATGAACGATCCGAAAAGAACCCCGAAATAGGGTTCATTAGAAAGAACCCTTTTTGTGGGTTCTTTTCTGCACCTTTAAGGGTGCCGCCCATTGGACAAGCGAAAGAACCCTAAAAGGTGCTAGTTGGCACGCTTTTTTTTAGAGTGTACCTTCTTAACCTGTAACTGACTATAGGAGGAAAGCTAAGAAGGAGAATGTTGAAATTCCAAAGGGCGGCGCTGCTCCGAAGGAATCTGCTACGTCACGACTACGCAGAAGGTTCCACAACGTTGCTAGACTACCTCCCAAATAGGCTCCGCATGCATCCACCAGGTGCACATTGAAAGATCGTTTATTTAGCTTTACAATTAGTTTTCTTGCGCCTTTCAACAGAAGACTGGGGTTTTTGAGGTTAGGGTGCAACATGCAACAGATTAAAGCTAAATAACGAGCGCTGAAATTTCGTTTCCCTACCCCTTTAACGGTATCAGCGGACATAGCCAAGGGAAGGCAAGTAAAAAAAAGGACTAACACAGACAGAAGGTGGGGAGCTCAGGTGCTACAATCTATGTCTGCCACGGACGCACCCTTCTCACCACGCCACTCTGCATTATGAACCGTATAGGGCCGCCGACTGACCATAACGGTACATGCTAATATTTGTCCCTTGGCCAATGTTAATGTTTTGCCTCCTCTTCTACATTGAAAAACCCAAAGATGAAGGTTACAGGAAACAGCAAACGTAATGTCTCTCATGTGTAGCTGTAGAAATTAACTTTCACGAGCTACATTTTATGTCTAGTCGCTGGCCATATGAGCTCCCCCTTCGAACACCAACCGGAGCAGCGGAAATTTAGCGCGCAGCGCGTCGAGCCTGGTGAGGTTGACGGTTGTGGTTATCAATAGGGATGTCGCGAACCACCCTAGGTTCGATTTCGAAAGGTTTCGTTATTTGCGAAGCGAACTGAGGTTCGATTTCGAAAAATTTCTATATTTTCGTACCGACCGAGGTTCGATTTCGAAAAATTCGCAACTTTTGACCACAGCGGAGTTTCGAATTCGAAAATTTCGAAGCTTTCACGGTTTCCAAAATTTCGAATTCGAATATTTCGAATATTTTTTTACTTCAGGTTCGATAAATTCGAAGATCTCGAAATTCTTTGTAAAAAAAATTCGAAAACTTCGAACGCTTCGAATTTTTATAGACATGAAGTTCGAACAAATCGAAGATTTCGAATTTCTTTTTACATAAAGTTCGAAAAGTTCGAAGGTTTCGATTCTCTTTTAACGCTAAATTAAAAAAAAACAAAAAAAAAAAACTTCGAAGATTTTAAATTTTTTTCTAATCCAAGTTTTCAAAGTTCGAAGTCCGATTTTCAAGTTTTTCCACAGTTTCAGTTTCAAATAACGTTTTCACGACTCACTGGTTTTCACAAAATCAAGTTTAGAAAAGTTAGGGTGTGATATCTAGATTCTGCGAAGTTGGTCAGGCAATTAAATGAGACGATGAGTGTCCCGGACGTGCTAGAATATTTGCCAGTGCAGAATTGTGACCGCCAGCCCCGGGGGGGGGGGGGGGGGGGGGTTTAACCTGCATCACGCAGTAGTGATTGCACGAACACACTGTTTTACGAGACTCATCCAGTTCGAAACGGCCAGGGGCGAGCAGGAGGTTGAGGCTCAGAAAAACCTTGAAGCGAGCTGGCAAACTACCTCGCCACCCCTTGCACGCTGGTAGTAATCCGATCCGGTGAAGTTTATAATTGTCCTGGAGGTTTATTTTCTGGGACGGAGGAATCGCCTCGCAGAAAGCACAAAAGCCGACACAACTCGAGGTCGAGGAGCGTTCTACCATACAAGTGGCGTCGGAAGAGGAAAAACGGGGGGAAAGAGGGTAGCGGGGGGGGGGGGGGGGGGGGGGGGCTTCAGCCTCCTTCTCCCCCTTGCAGGAATTTCGATCTGTTAAAGAAAACAATACGGGGAAAGAGGGCGTGGTCGAGCTTATTTTAATCTGAAATTATTTATGCATATGTATAGCTACTGTCGCTCTTCACTGCATAAAAGGTCATTGTTAGAAACTCGTTGTCAGAAGGCACTGCTCGTCACATGCTTAGTGGTTCAGAAGTTCAAAGCTGTCTTTTCGACCTAAACACCTGTGCCGATAGTAACAAAAAAAAAAAAAAGAAGAATAAATGCGGAAATAAAAAGCAGGAGAAAAAAAAAAACTATCAAGAATTCGTCGGAAGTGTTCTATTCTTGCATATTCAGAGGTTCAGAACTTCGAAACAAGTTTCTTTTACCAAAATGTGTACAGGCTAAAAGAAACACGTCCAAGGAACGTGAAGCGAAAAAAAAAAAAAAAAGTTTTCTTTTAATGACGTGTTGAACTTGAACACTATTAGAAATCTTCTCCCATGAGTTAATTTATTCCTTAACGTGAAAAAACAATAAATATATTATTTCGTATTCTGCAGATGGCAATGATATGTACTGTCTGTGATGTTAATTTAAATGCGATACCTCAAACAACTTAGACGAAAATAAATATCAAGTTTAGGTTATAATTGCATGCAGATACATGTTTGGACATTTCTTCGAAACTCACGTTGAATAACAATAATCACATCTTAAGACGGCACTTACCTAGGCTATACATAGATCATTCTTAAAAAAAAGTATAACATATCTACCATAAATAGCTCCGGCTGCAGCGTGCTTCAAATCTGGCATAAACGATAATCGTCAAAAACCCGTCGTCCTTCCTCGCCCCTTCGGAGATTTCTTTCTTTAAACCTAAGCATGCCAGAACATTGAAATAAACGACATTGTCTTTCGTAAGGAACGCAGCACCGCGTGTAAAAGTTCGAGAAAAAAAAATTACGAATGTACCCCACTACTTGAAATCAAATGAAACCGTCCGCCGGTCTTTCGAAGTTCGACGAACGTCGAACTTTTACCCTAAAAGTTCGAAGTTCGTCGAACTTCTGACTTTTCAGAATCCGAAAGTTCGAAACTTTTCGAATTCTCTTGATAAATAAATTCGAAAGTTCGAAATTCATCGAATTTTTTTGTCAGTCAAGTTCGAAAGTTCGACAAGCATCGAACCTTGCAGCGCAATAAGTTCGAAAGTTCGAAAAAGATCAAATTTTTTAGCGTAATAAGTTCGACGGTTCGAAAAGCGTCGAACTTCTTAGCTTAACAAGTTCGAAAGTTCGACCTCCGTCGAATTTTACGATATAGACAATTCGAAAAATCGAAATCTTTCGAACCTTTCGAACCGCTTGATTCGATCATCGAAACTTCGATTCGAAAAAAGTTCGCGGCATCCCTAGTTATCAACGGTGGAGGAAGTGGGGGGGATTGCACATAAAAAGGTGCTCGTAATAGTTTCTTTCTACAGCTGTCTATGAGACATTGTTGAGTTTGAACCTCGCTGCACCCCTTGAATTCGTGACAGACAAAAAGTGTTTTGACAAAATATAAAACGAGCTGTCTAGGTCAAGAGAAGAGCAATCTCGGAGGCCTTAAAGGTAACCTGCGGCTGCTGGATGACCTGCTGTAAACGGACCCAGAATTCGCGAGCATAGAGAGAGGTGCAGAAGCTATGTGATACTCAAGTGAAAAGTTAATAAGCTCAAATCATTATTCAGCTTAAGCCCAAAATCTATGATTCGCACATGCCTATTATTTTAAGTATGAAGCCAAAGGCAAACAATGTAGTTCTCTGTTGATTTATTGCCAAATATAATACATTTTCAGTAACTGGATGGTTGGCTTATGTTTCAAAGGTTGCGATAAAAAATACAATACTTAATTGGGTGAAAAGCAAACCATTGTAACAATTGTGTGCATGATCATATTCTACAAGTCGTTTTACATGCATACACAGCACTCTATTTGAAAGCTAATAGAATTTAAAAAAAAAAGGACGTGAGAGTTACGTTGATGCCTTTTTCACTGCGTGTTCGTAAGACTCGGCGGACATTAGTAAAGTGAATAATTGTCACAGTATGTTGACTAATGGACGATAATCTGTTAGCTTTGAAATTAATGGCTTCATGGACCATGTTGCAACTAGAGTGTTAAAAGCCAGTCAATATGAAAAGCTATACCGATTCAAATCAATCACGAAAAGCCAAGCGGCTTCGAGGTATTCATTGTCAAACTTTTGCATTTTTAATGTCGGGTGCAAAAATCGCGCTCAGCTTTAGCTCAAGAATTCGTGCCGTTAAGGGTGGGTAGAACAGTGAAAAAAGTCGTACCGGGAGGTACGTCGTCACTATCTCGACTGTGTGTCCTTAGTGGAAGCATCGGCGTCATACTTCCAGAATAGTGAAGGTGCGTCCGAAGCAACCACGTCCGCACGACATCCTGAGGCCTTCTGAGCGCAAGAGTTTTAGAGCGCAGCTCTTAGGGGCCCGTTTCCGGCTTGAGCGGCGTCGGCGTCGGCGTCGGCGTAACCGCGCGGTGCATCATGGGAAATGTCCCATAATGCACCGCGCGAGCCCCCACCGGGGTCACGTGACCTCGTGGGGGGCACGTGACCCCCCCCCCCCCGAGGTCACGTGACCCCGGTGCATCATGGGAAATGTCCCATAATGCACCGCGCGAGCCCCCACCGGGGTCACGTGACCTCGTGGGGGGCACGTGACCCCCCCGAGGTCACGTGACCCCCCGAAGTCACGTGACTCCCCTGAGGTCACGTGACCCAAGCCGATGTTGCGTGACCCCCCAATGCCGGTGACGTCATCGTCACTGATGACGTCATCGGCATCCACATCGTCATCGCCATCATCACTGATGACGTCACCGGCATCCACATCGTCATCGTTATCATCACTGATGACGTCACCGGCATCCGCATCGTCATCGTCATCATCCCTGATGACGTTACCGACATCCGCATCGTCATCGTCATCATCACTGATGACGTCATCAGTGACGTCACTGATGTCGTCACCGGCATCCACATCGTCATCGTCATCGTCACTGATGACGTCACCGGCATCCGCATCGTCATCGTCATCATCACTGATGACGTCACCGGCATCCGCATCGTCATCGTCACTGATGACGTCACCGACATTCGCATCGTCATCGTCATCATCACTGGTGAAGTCATCAGTGACGTCACTAATGACGTCAGCGGTACCCGCATCGTCATCGTCACTGATGACGTCATCAGCGACGTCAGTGATGACATCATCGGCATTGGGGGTCACGTGACCCCCAAGGTCACGTGACCCCCCAAGGTCACGTGACCCCCCCCTGGTTAGTTTAACCCCCCCCCACCCCCAGTGCCCTTCCCTCCTCCTCCTCAAGAGCTGCGCTCTAATTCGGCGTTACAGGGAGTTGTAAGCAGCTTTCATTTTTTTTATTGGGCGACAAAAAGGCAGATGTTTAGGATTGAATATCTCAAAATTGTTGCCACTCGCAAATTGTGTCAATTGGGTGAGTGTTCAATATTCACTGCCTTTGAAACTAGAATTGAAAAATATCCCATAAAACCATTATTTAAAAATATTATTAAAATTTTGGTTAAATAGTTTTGAATAACATACTGCGAACGGTTTTCCCCTTATGTAATGTCCTCAGAGCCCCACAAAGATACGGTGAAGGCGGCATCCAAGTAACACTCACGCCGTTTATTTTTTTCTTTAATTTTGTTTGAATTGAAGTAGAAAGCTTTGTATATATGTATATAAAAATATATATTAATTCCGGGTGCATGTGCATGCAGCCGTGCTTCATCAAACTATAGAGGTCAACTTTTTCGTTAAGAAACACTGGATCAAAGCGGACAAGGCCAGTTTACATAAACCCCCAGCACAGCATGTGCCATGGACCGCTAGAAATGATCGCTCACCTCATAGAACACTCTGCGCGTCTTGAAGATAGCGGCTTGCGGTCTTTGACGGTGAGTCTACTCGCTTGGTGCAGCTGGGACCTGCAATAAATTCAATACCGCTTGCCATATCCCACAAAGTAACAAAGAAAAGCCAGTAATACATAAGTCTACAGCGCGACATGTCCCAAGGACCGCTAGAAAGTCTCACTTGATTCATAGAACACTTCATGCGACAAAACCCCAAAACCATTGAACTTAGTAAAAATGTTGCAGAAAAGTAAGGATCTGTATTCAGCTGTGTCAAAACACGTGATCTTATGTAATAAGTGTATGGCCTTATAGAACACTACTTAAAACATTTTGACTAGCGAGAGTGACCACAAGTGTATACTGAAAGAATCAATAACAATGATGAAACCCAGATATTAGTCGAATGCCTTCCCTGTGTTTTGCCATCGAGTGGAAGAAGTTTCTTGGCCTCTATTTTTCATTAGAAACAGGTGTGATGTCCGTCTGTGTTTTGAAATCTTCATGTTGTGCTTATCCTTTATTTCCTGTTGAAAGCTCAAGGGCATTTCCTGTTGTTTGTTTAATCAGACTTACCCAGATGGTTAGTAGGTTGCTTCTTTGCGTTTACTGTTTTTGGGTATGTTAGGAGTTGTGAACAGCATTACGCTCTAAGGTCCACGAGGGAATTCCCCTTGTAAAGTGGTGGTAAGCAGACGACAAAATTGTAAAGGGTGACTTCATGTCTTCCCTTTTGTTTCCTCTTTTGGGTCACCTATTCATTTTTTGTCAATTAAAACTCAGCTGTGATGGACACTTTTCTGCGTTTGTATTATCTTCCTGAGAACCCGTCTTGAATAAGTTGTTTGTGTTTAGCCTGTATAGCTAGCTTGTCCCTCGTTTTTATTTTTGTTCATTAATGAATGACTAGGATTCAAGTGTAAGCACAGTGTTAATGCATACTAATAAATAGCAGCATACTTTTATTGAAGATAGTCCATAAAAGCACGCTGCTACTGGCTACCAACTAGTTCAAGCATCAGCACTATAGTGCTGATGATTGAATTAGTTGGTAGCCAATCATTAAAAGAAATTATGAAGAATATGGAAACACAGGATACCAACACAACACAGCGCTGTGTTGATCTCCTTCTTGTCCGTGCCCTTCACACTCCATGTTTTTAATAATACATTTTTCAATAATTGTTTGCATGGCATAGGGGTTCACTGGAACGGCCCACCTGCCAGTGCATTCACTTTAGGGCAGTTCCCCGTTCCTCATGGTGCCATCGTTGAGGAAGTGCAAGGCGGATGTCACTCTCACTCTTGTGGTTCGGTTCCCCAGGTTCCCATAGGTCTCATGCTGCAGCTTGCCAAATTGAGTGAGGCCTTCCAGCCCTGCAGGTAAAGTCAATTCCACTCTTTTAGACCTAGGCACCCATATTTTGTGTATACCTGAAAGAAGCTCTAACAGAGAAGAAACAAAATGATTGGCGCTTTTTGAATGCATCTTTTTCTTTCGCTGAGAACATACATACAAGGCACATGCTATTGTACATTCAGGGCCGGTTGCACCAACGCCGCTTAGCGTAAAGCGGAGCTTAGCCGGGAACATAAGCTTAGTTTCGGTTTCGTTCGGTTGTACCGAAATCGCGTATCGCTAAACCTAGCACTAAACTACGCTTAACTTGAGCGCTCAACATTGGGCGCTTTGCTTTTGGTTGTTTCTTAATCCTGGATTTAAAGCATGGCGGCTGGTTTGTCGCGGTCGACGCGGTGGACGAAATTGGTAGTGCAAAATGTTTTATTTATTTATTTTATTTCAAAATACTATCAGTCCCTACATGGGACTATGAAAGGGAGGGCATGAAAAAAAAAAAACTTGATAAACACTGAAGGAACAAAATAAAAAGAACACAGCAAAAACTTCACAACTGCAACAACATCAGCGTGAAAGTCTCGACTGAATGACCTTCGATTGTGACAAGGATGCATAATATTGTCGCATGAAGTGTTTGGCTCTCCACTCTCAGGGCGCGTTAGCCCTAACCGAGATACGTACGGAGCTGTAGGGCTCACGTCTGTCTTCCCGTTTTTTCTTCTCTCAACGAGCTTATTCGTATGTACTTACTAATTTTCGCATAACTGTAACGCATTGTTATTTACCACCTTGTTTATTTACACTTGCAGCGCGTATCCTTCAATCCGATCAGCGCGTTGAATAGTGGCAGTACATGATCTCGGTGATCAGCTGATTGTCGACACCTCTGCCGTTTGCATTCGATTGCGGCGCTTTTAAGTAATAAAACAGCAAAAATTCAATTTCTTTAGTTTTCTGAGTTTTGAAACAATCTTCAGTGAATTTTTCTAATCTCGCGAATAGAATCTTGGCTTCAGGAAACTGTATCGTTCCACAACCGTAACCTTTTTAGTGATCGCGATTTTTTAGGAATATTTTGCTTTATATCTTTCATTCGTGGCGACGACAAATCGTAACGACTACTATGCTAGATTTGTCTATTGCTGTGTCGGGGCAGGCTGGGGCAGGTGATGCGAAGAGACGACCGTTCTTATCGGCACGATGTGTTGTATTAGTGGGAGTATTTTTTTTTAACTCGACAGTGTGAAACTGATGTCCGCTTGAGGCTGCAGCGGATGTTTAACGACGCTACAGCGCAGTTCTGTCACCTTGCTGATAACAACGAGTACCGTCGATGCAAGGTCTCGTGACCTGACCTCTCGACGACTTCTATTCGACGATTTCCGGGCATTTTCGCAGCTGCCGTGGCGAGTTCGTCACTGTTTTGTACTTCATCGGTCTCAGGCATGACTTGATTTTAGTAGTCATCTTACCTGCCTACTTATTCTCGATGATGTTTTGTCTTCAGCGAGTAGAGTGTCCTTCTCGCGTTCGGTGAGATTTGGGGCCCCCGATGGCTCCTTCACCTCAAAACGTGAGCACGAAAACTACTGCCACTGTCAAAATATCCTGTTATCAACCGATATTAAGCAAACAATCACAGATGTAAAGAGCATTCGTGTTTATTTAAAGCTTTGACTTCTGTTATTGAAAGTTAAGCGAAAAAAATGACTGAATTTAGAGACCTTTAATTTGTTAAGGCGCGTTCCCACCGGCGATGCGATCTAGTCGCGGAGCGGCTGAGCCAATCAACGGCGTTCGGAGCGAGAGTTTTCGAAAAACGACTCGCCAACGAAGGGATTGGACTCGCTCATCGCGCACGCCGGTGTGACCATCTAACTTTCAATTCGTATCGTGCGGCTGCTTACATCGCCGGTGGGAATGCGCCTTTAGTCACCGAAGAAATACAGTGAAAAGCAGACGCCGACGACGACTACTACGGCAGTTTTTTTGTTTACATCACGTGTTTCCTCTCCGCCAATCGTATTCGTCCCTCTGAGCGTTCCCTAGTTTGCTCTGTTTGTCCCTACATTCCCTACGCAAATCCAGCGTTTAACTAGGGACGCGCCTGTAAAGCCGGGTTTACGTTGGCGCAACCGGAATTTAAACCCGTGCTTATCCGAGCTCGGTTTAGCACGCTAAGCCGACTTAAGAAAGAGCCGCTTTGGGTTAAGGTAAGCGACGTTGGTGCAACCAGCCCTCAGTGGTGCAGCTTAATTCATGAAGAACACTTTTTTATATAACTTCAAGCTCTTAGAGAAAAGATTCAATATAATGGGTCGGACATAAATGGTTGCTAAGAACTGTCCTATACATTTACACATTATCTGATATCAAAAAAAGAGTAGCGCAGGGTAGGGCTGCACTGCATCATTTACGATTTTTGTAACCAATTAACAGTTGGCATTTATTTATTTATTACTATTGGCTATTATTGTTTGACAGAAAGAATAACCGGGCGAGTTGGTACGATGGTAGTCTTCCGACTCCACGCAATAATCAGATTGGACATTAGACGTTTAAGTTCATTCTTTTCTACATTTCTTTATGTTTTTGCTATGAAGAAAGCTATACGCACTTCGGAGTGCACTTCCGACGGGAATGGCTATACGCACTCCGCTAATCTCGTATAGAACAAATGGTCACAACGAGTTTTTCTGAGCGGTGGCATAGCATAGGGTTCCACTTCCGGCTTTCAGCCAGAGCGGACGGCGCTATGAATCGCTCCCCGAAAGAGGCGATGGGGCCGCGGTGAAACGAATGTTTCTTCTCTGCCAAATGATTACCGTCTACTTTTGCCTGCTCTGCCCACCGGAGATGCTGCTAAGCTCAGCGTGATTCTTCAGGCTGATCTTCAAAAAAGACCCTACGGATTGAAGACTTCCGTGAACCGTTAGACAAGGTGGGAGTTTTGCCAGGCTTGGCTGGTCTGGGGGCCTTCCAGATGAGCCACGTCTGGCTGTTGAAACTTCATTGACTGGAAGCAAAGACCATGCTTTTGGAAGCAGGCAGCTTACAAGTAAAGGGCCGCTTTTGCCATCTCGTAGACCCGAGTCGGAGGGAACTGCGCATCAAGCTCCACTGGGTCACGTTCGACGTCCCAGTGGACACGGTGCGTCGTGCCTTCGAGCCCTTCAGCTTGGTCAAGGAAATCATCCGGGAAAAGTGGAAAGTGCCAGGCTTTGTCGGCGTCGAGTCCACCACGCTGGTGGCGCGGATGACGTTGAAGGACGGCGTTTCCCTGGAGAACCTCCCACACCAGCTGCGGACCTGCGGGGGGAACGTCCTGGTCGTCGTCCCTGGTCGTGCGCCGATCTGCCTCCGGTGCCACCGAGCGGGGCACATACGCCGAGACTGCAGGGTGCCCCGGTGTAACCTGTGCCAGGCCTTCGGACACGAGGCCTCGTCGTGCGTGAAGACGTACGCCCGCGTCACTGGCAACAACACCGCCGTGGCGTCGGACGACGCCGAGTGCATGGACGTGTTCGTGGCCGAGAGAGCAGCAACAGCGACGACGCCGACAGACCAGCAAACCCAGGGTGGGCCCGCAGAGAACGACAGAGTCTGTGATGAGGCGAAACCAAGACCCTCGCCCTGGGCATCACAAGTAAAGGCGGCCCCCGAGGTACTCGAAGAAGTCGCGGCTGAAAAGGTGACAAACACTCCAGACCTCCCAGCGGCAACCGCCGTGCCGGGGGACGATGACGGCAAGGACCATGTCGACGAAGACGTCGGGACAACCGTTCACGACGAAGTCAAGGGCCAGGGTGACGACGACGGCAAGCCCGAGGGCGAAGGTGGCGTCGACGCCAGGCTCAAGGACGCGGAGACTGGAGCGGCGAGGCGACGGCACGAAGGCGTAAGCTCCAAGATCGCCGACAGGGAACTGCGACGCCTCGAGCGCGTGTGGGCTGGCAACGGGGGACTTAACCCTCAACGGTTGAGGTCTCGCCAGCGCAGGGAGGAGCAACCGAAGTGAGTTGTCACGTCTACTGTTGTAAAAGGTTTCTTCACAGTTATTTTTTTTTTCTTTTTTTTTCTAAACGCAGTTATTTTCCGTTGGTCCTACCTAGTATTTAAGCATGCTAGAAAAGTCTTTGCCCGTAGGCACTTCAAATGTACGGGGACTGTGTTCAAGGCGCCGGCAGTGCCAACTAAGCCGCCTGTTTATTGAGCACGACCTCGATATTGTGGCGGTTCAAGAGACAAAGATGGAAGGCGAGAGACAGACGGAGAGAATGGTGCAGATGTTTGAGTCGCGGTACGACGTTTGTGTTAGTCACGCTGTCGGAACGTCTGGCGGGTGTCTTTTGTTTTTTGCGCAAGGGTTTGTTTACTGTAGTGCAGTTTATTAGTGATGAGTCAGAGCGTTTTGTCCTTTGTGATTTTTTTTTCTAGTAACATTTTCCGTGTTTTGCGCATTTACGCACCGAATAGAATCGATGAAAGAGTGCTTTTTTTTAAGAGTTTTGAGAAGTATGTTCGGACCAATCGGCGTGTCATTTTGCTTGGGGACTTTAATTGTGTGTGCGCGTCGCGTGATCGGTTGAACAGCAGAAGGTTTCATGATGAAAGTGCTTTACTTTTGGGGAGTATGGTCGAACGCTACGGCTTAGAAGACGTTGCCAACCGCGTGTCTGGTGGAGGGGTTCTGCTCTTTACACACTTTCAAGGAGCAAGTCACGCTCGCCTTGACAGAGTATGTTTCTTTTGAATTGCTGAGAGTGTGTAAAAAGTATGCTGTTGATCATGTGTCATTTAGTGACCACTGCCTCGTTTCTTTTATGCTATGGGCATCTAAGGAAAAGCCGAAAAAGTTTGATTGGAATCTTTGGAAATGTAACACTAAGCTCCTTGGCGATGAATATTTCGTTAATTTAGTTCGTCAAACTCTAGACGAGTTGGCAAGGGCCAAGGGGAACGATTTTGGTGTAAAGTGGGAACTTTTTAAACAGGATGTAAAAATGATAGCGCTTGAACGCTCAAGTATTTTGAAACACAAGAAGGAAAAGGCAAGGCAGGAACTAGATGGCCGGCTGAAAGAGTTATTGCACGAAGAATGTTTATCGCCTGGGCTTTTCGCTGATGATATTGTCAGTCTAAAAAAACGTCTAGAAGCGCTAGATACTGATCAGTATCAGGGGGCTGTTGTACGGGCGCGTTTGAAACGCATATCTGATGGGAAGATTCCCACCAAAAGGGCAGTTGGCATTGAAAGAAGATATGCCGCCAAGAAATAGAAAAGTGAAATTCAGTATCGGGGTACGTTGTCTAGTGACAAGGAAAGCATCGAAAAAGCGTTTGTTGAGCATTGCGAAGGACTTTTTAGTTATTGCGCACGCAAGAGGAACGATTTTCGGAGTTTTTTTTTACCGTTCACGACGAAGCTGGCAGACGGGCTTAAGGAAAGGCTAGAACAGCCTATCACGTTAGGTGAGGTCGAAAAGGCAATAGACGATTTGAAGGGGGGAAAATCGCCTGGGGGGTCCTGATGGTTTCGGAGCGGAGTTTTATAAAGCGTTTAAAGATCGTGTAGGTCCTTTTTTGCACTGTGTTTTTTTCCGAGGCGTTCCGACCTAATGTTTTACCCCCATCTTTTTTGTTTACTCATACTGTTTTAATCCCCAAGAGCGAGGATCGAGTTAAGCTACGCACGGTTGGAGCGTACCGCCTGATTACTCTGTCGAATGTGGACTATACGATTTCGATGAAGGTGCTGGCGGAACGACTACAAGGTGTGATCAACCTTATAGTCGGTCCTCACCAGACGTCTGGTATTAAGGGGAGGACAATTGTTACAAACGTGCATGTAGCGCGAAGCATCTTGGAGTGCTGCGACGATTTCCAACAAAAGGTTGCGCTGCTACAGATAGACCTCGAGAAAGCCTTTGACCGCGTATCAGACGAAATTTTTTTTTCCATCTTAGAACATGTTAATTTAGGTTCGGTGCTGTGCGATGGGGTACGCATGGCTTACCTTAACTGCGCCACCCGTCTGGTTGTGAATAAGAGTGTGAGTGAACGTATCCCCCTTTATTCTTCTGTGCGGCGGGGATGCCCGCTTTCGCAGCTGCTGTTTTGTATTTTTCTAGAACCGTATTGTATGAGTGTGTTACGTAGTGAACATATACGCGGCTTTAATTTACAAGCGACCGAGGGTCGTTTTTTGGCATATGCCGATGATGTGGCTATTTTTTGTACTGACCAAGAGAGTGTAAAGAAAGCTGTAGAACTAACAGAGAAGTTCTGCGAGAGCACGTGCAGTGCTGTAAATGGGCAAAAGTGTCAGGGGTTTTGGCATGGAGACTGGCCCGCCAAGCCCACTGTTTTTGAACGTGTCACGTGGTCTGACACGCCGGCGCGGTATCTTGGAGTTCCACTGGAACAATACCGCGACAGCGAGGAGTATTGGAATGAAGAAGCTCAAGCGCTGCGCGCAAGGGCGGATAAGTGGGGGGGGGGGGGGGGGGGGGGAGAGGCTTTTCAATGTTTGCACGTGCCTCAGTGTGCAACGCCTTTTTAGCTGCGAAGGTCTGGTACGTGCTGCAGGTACTGCACTGCTCGCGGGTCAACATCCAGCGCATACACCGTGTTATTGCTGTGTTTATTTGGAGCTCGACTTGGGAGAGAACAAGCCGAACTAATCTTTTTCGGCGTGTCAAGGATGGCGGGCTGGGTCTGTCGCATCTTTTTGTCAGACAACTCCTTAATAGGTTTTGTTTTCTAAGAGACCAGAAGGACCCTCTACTGCGTTCAGTCATTTAGGTGCGGCTATGCAGAGCATTGCCCGATATTATTGTCTCGACTGATATGCATTCCAGTTATGGCATACACGGTTTTCTGAAGGAAGTTGTGTCTGCTTATCGGTTCTTGGCAACGCGGTCTTCGCTCGAGTATTTGTCCAGTGTGTCGCGAAAATGTTTGACCAAAGACTTGGTTGTTTCCCTTTTTCCCACTCCACTGTACCGTTCCTTGTACAATGCGGAAAGTGGTCAGGATGTTTTGAAGCATGTCAAGCAAATGAGGGTACCCGCCTTCACGAAATCTTTTCTCTTTAAATTACACAGTGAAACCCTGCCGGTCAAAGTTTTCTTAGAGGAAAAAGGTATTCCCGTCGCATGGTCTGTAAACTGTTTACTTTGCAAAATGCCAGAGACAATAGAACACGTTTTTCTTAACTGCTGGGACGCAGTGTTCCTTTGGGACGTCCTTCAAAGGACCCTTAAAAAGGACCTACCATTAACACCTCACGGAATTCGTTATTTGCCTGTTGATGTAGGAGACAACATTGCACCATATGACATGATCATGCTGGTCGGTCTCCATGGCTTGTGGCGCTGCCGCATGGCTGTAAGACACGCGGACGTCGACGTGCGTCCCGCACAAAAGTATTTTGTTGAAATGATGTGTTTTTTGAAAGAAGTGTTTAAGGTTCAGCAGCCACCCCCAGATTTTTTGCCACTTCTTGAGGAGCTGGCGACCATCACTGGTCTGTGAAGGTGTTTGATGAGTTTGATATATGTATGTGCACAATAGCCTTTGAGGCTTTTGTTTTGTTTTTATTGTATGTGTGATCTGTTTGTCGCCTAAGCCAGAAACAGGCAATAAAGAAAAAAAATAGTGGCATAGCATAGGGGTTAAGGTGTCCGCTTATACGCAAGTGGACGCAGGTCGATCCGCGGTAGGCCTACTTTTTTTTTCGAGCGTTTTGTTTTTTCGAAGCATTTCACGATATTTATGACATTTTGTTTTTACAATAAACACTGAGAAAAAAAACGAATGTTGTCGACGAAGTTTTGCAGAACTAAATGGTATGGGACTCCCTTTCGGAGGTGCGATCGGGGACAGCGGGGCTTGGGTTGCCGGCTGGACGCCGCGAAGCGGCGTGTACTGGTTCACTTTTGTCATTAGCAGCCGCATACTGCCGCCGCGAAGAGGCGTGAACGCAGGCAGGGGGCTGTGTTAATGAGCTCCCCAGTGAATACACGCGCCGTTCGAAAAGGGTGGCCCGAGCGGCATGAGCTCTCCGCGGAGTGCGTATAGCAATTTCAATTCAAAGTGCACTCCGGAGTGCGTATATCTTTAGTCTTTTGCTTTTTCTAGCTCCTCTATTTTTTGTAAGGAATTTCGCCACCACTAAAAAAGGTGACATCTGAACTCTTCTTTTTTTACATCACACAATCCTAAACTTGGAAAATGTGCCGGTTCGGCAAACGCGAAGAAACCGCGCGTCTCTACGGCACAGGCGTTAAGCTTAGGCCAAAAATCATGCTGCTCGCTCTTGTAACGTTTTTCTCGCTCCCGCTTTATGAAACAAATCGGTGGCGAGCTGCTGTTCGGACAAGACGTCAGAACTAGCATGACCTGTGATTAACACTTTGGGACGGCGACTGAATGCTTGAACTGCCGTCAGACGGCACTTGAACGCTCCACAAAAGCGTCGTCGGAGGAGCGTCGGAGGACGGGGACGGCGCCCAGAACATGCCGACAGTTCCGCTGCACGACAGTCCTTCTCACACTGCGGAGAGAGCCACAGGTCTTGAAAAAGGTACGCACTTTTCAAATAACGAAACAACACATGGCAGAAGCTTAGTTAGAATAAAGCATAGCTTAGCAAGCACACGGTACACGACAAAGTTTGAAACAGCAGCCCACTTCGCAGAAACAGAAGAAAGTTGCTTACCGGCGTTTGCACGAGTCGTCCATGCTGTCCTAAACTTACGGGCGTTGGGACGAAGCAGCGTCTCCCAACTCTCAGTCATCGCTTGTTATTCTTGAACACGGTCCTCGTAAGGAAGATAACTAAAATATCCGCTAAAACGGCTAAAACGTAAAAAGAAAGGAGATTTCTGAAGCCACTGCAACTCCAACGGCCATTCAACGTCAGCCCCAACGTTACTAGAACACTCAGTTGGGAAACACCTGGGCCGCTGGCGTCCACCGAGACCGAGCTAAATACAACAACAGCGCCATTCTTTA